AAGCAGAATGGGTACAAGCCAGATATGACCAGTTAAATTTGATTGAAGAAAAAAGACTGAAAGCTATTTTTCATGGTCAGGTGTACCAAAAGCGGATGATACAAGCACCTGATAAGAAAGTTCACCTCCGAGAATTTTACGAAAGAGATCTCGTACTTAGAAAGATCTTACATATTCAAAAGGATTTCCGAGGAAAATGGATGCCGAATTGGGAAGGACCTTATATTGTAAAGAAAGCCTTTTCTGAAGGAGCTCTAGTTCTCACTGAGATGGACGAGCCAGAATTACCTCACCAGTGAACTCTGATGCGGTTAAAAGGTATTTTGATCGATTGAAAAAATGAGGGTTTAAGATGAAAATCTGAAAAGTATATCTTGAAACCAAATGAGGTCTCAAGTTGAAAACACGTAAAAGGTGGCTTGAGTGTTATAATTCAAGATTCATGTTTGAAAAAAATATTGGATTATTTGTTAAAGATGCATAACATATGGAGATTTGATAGTCAAGAAGAGATTTTACATCCTTAGGTATTATCATGATTCTTGAAATCCTTTTTATAGAAGCTATACTTGAATCACTTTGTGGCATGCCAGTTCAGAAGTATTTATGCTATTGATATGTGAAGATGCCTATTACTTTTTTCTTGTACATTTTTCAATAAACGTTTGCCACGTAATTATTTAAAAACTCTTTACATTTGTATAAATAAAAAGAGACTTTTCTTGTTAACTCTCATTTTTGCAAGCATTTTGCTTTGAAAATTTAAAATATGTAGTTTAACTTGAAGTACATAAAATCATGGTGCATTATTGTACAAAAAGTTTTTTTAAAATGCAGGTTTTCTGAAATTGATAATGATTTCAATTTTCAAGCTTGTATAATGACATTGATACATGGAAAATAAAATTTGAAGTACCTAGAAAGTTTCAATCGTATGAAGATGATCCAAAATATTTGTCACATATGGAATAATTGATCATTGGTACTAACGAGGTTCAAGAAGAAAGAAAATACTATAGATGAGATCAAGATATTCAGTTGAAGTAAATCGGCCTTGTTTGTTGTACCCAAAATAAAATGAGTCAGAAGATGGCTAATGAGAGAGGGTCCTTATTCGAAAAAGAAAATGCACTAAAATTGCATTATTGCATACATTTTAGGCATAAATAGGATCATGATATTCATAAATGCATCATTTATTGATATTTTAGGAAACATCATCCTTAGATAACCAGACGTCCTCATCACGAAGGAACTGTGTTATCTCAAATATCTTTAAAGATAGCCAGACGTCTTCATCACGAAGGAACAATGTCATCCATCGATCAGAACTCCTCATCATGAAGGAGCAACATCATCCTTAGATAACCAGACGTCCTCATCACGAAGGAACCGTGTTATCTCAAATATCTTTAAAGATGGCCAGACGCCCTCATCACGAAGGAACAATGTCATATGTTGATCAACACTCCTCATCACGAATGAGCAACATCGTCCTTAAATAACCAGACGTCCTCATCATGAAGGAACGTGTTATCTCAAATTTCTTTAAAGATGGACAGACGTCTTCATCACGAAGGAACAATGTCATCCATCGATCAGAACTCCTCATCACGAAGAAGCAACATCATCCTTAGATAACCAGACGTCATCATCACGAAGGAACCGTGTTATCTCAAATATCTTTAAAGATGGCCAGACGTCCTCATCAAGAAGGAACAATGCCATCAATTGATCAGAACTCCTCATCACGAAGGAGCAACATCATCCTTAGATAATCAGACGCCCTCATCACGAAGGAACAATGTCATCCATTGATCAGAACTCCTCATCACGAAGGAGTAACATCATCCTTAGATAACCAGACGTCATCATCACGAAGGAACCGTGTTATCTCAAATATCTTTAAAGATGGTTAGACGTCTTCATCACGAAGGAATAATGTCATCCATCGATCAGAACTCCTCATCACGAAGGGGCAACATCATCCTTAGATAACCAGACATCCTTATCACGAAGGAACCGTGTTATCTCAAATATCTTTAAAGATGGCCAGACGTCCTCATCACGAAGGAACAATGTCATCCATTGATAAGAACTCCTCATCACGAAGAAGCAACATCATCCTTCGATAACCAGACGTCCTCATCACGAAGGAACCGTGTTATCTCAAATATCTTTAAAGATGGCCAGACATCCTCATCACGAAAGAACAATGTCATCCATTGATCAGAACTCCTCATCAAGAAGGAGAAACATCATCCTTAGATAGCCAGATGTCCTCATCACGAAGGAACAATGTCATCCACCGATCAGAACTTCTCATCACAAAGGAGTCGCTTCATCCTTAGATAATCAGACATCCTTATCACGAAGGAACCGTGTTATCACTATTTATCTCTAAAAATGACCAAATGTCCTCATCTCGAAGGAACAATGTCATACACTCGTTTGATTTCCCTTAAATAAAGAGGATTTCTTATCAAAACATGAAGTCAATTGGACAAAATCTTATTGTTTTTTTCGTCTTTGCTATATTCTCGTTAACATAAGAATTAACATCTCTATCTGTATAAACACTAAGTTTTTGTCACATACATTATTATTATTATTATTATTATTATTATTAAATAATAATTACAAATAAATTTGCAGGCCCATTTACAACAGATCTAGGCCCAGACCCGATCAGACCCGGTCCAAATCCGAGAAGGCCCAAAACCCAGTTAGAGTTTTCACATTTTCAGTTAGGGTTTCTAAACCCTATCCCTAATCGCCATTTCTCAACACTGTTGGATCTCTTCAGATCCAACGGTCCAGATTTCATCCGGCAGAAATCCTAGGTTCACCAACCCTATGGCGATTTTCGGCGCGACCTTCAACTACTCTGCCGCCTTCAACTGCTCCGCTGCCATATTCCCATTTCATCTGCTGCCATAACACCAAAAGCTCCATGAGAAGCAAGAATGAACGCACACCTCACGGATTTATGGTGAGTCACCATCATAGATCTGAAGATTTACCATAGATCCACTGAATGAAGACCATCATCAGGGCTTATAAAAGCCTTCGAACCTGCAAATAAAGAAAAGGAGGCAAGACAAGAAATACGGGAAGCAACCACCAACGACCAACAAAAAAAAATACGAAACAATAACGAAGACAACCAAAAGAAAGAGAGAGGAGATCAAGAACTTACGAACGACGAAACATCTACGCGTCCTTGAAAAACAAAAATACCGAAGGTATAAATCTAGATCTAGGTAATTTTGGGATTTTTTAGGGGAAATTGAGACTGAAATCAACCTTAGGGTGTTCGGATCTCTCATTTAGGGTGTTTTGATTTTTTTCGGTCACCATGGGTGGTGGCCGCGGTGGCGATAGATGTCTGAAAGCGGTGGCCAATGGTGGCCGGATTCCCTCCGATAAGGGAGTCCTAGAGAGAGGCGAGAGAGATTTTTAGTTTCTCTCTCCTAGAGAGAGACCGAAATGAGAAATGAGAGAAAGCTTGGCCCTTAGGGCCGAATTTTGGATTTAAATACCCCTCCCGAACGGCGTCGTTTTGGAGAGGGGTCTGTGTGTAATTTCACACATGGTATAATTATTTCTATCATCCATGCATGTTAAAAAAATTCAATTTGGTCACCTAAATCAAGTTTTTACATTATTTAATTTTTATTCAAATTTTATTTTATATTATTTTAGTCACTAAAATCATATTTTACGCATTTTAATTTTAATTTTAATTTTATTTTGTTATGTTTTAGTCATTTAATTTAACGTAATTTAAATTTTCAAGCCAACTAATCTAATTCAAATTTTGAATCCTCTATTTTGGATTTTTAGTATCATTGTTTTCGGTAACGGTCCACATTAAATTTATTATAGGCACGTTTGCTGGTTTATTAAGGGCCACACTTTTCTTCTACCTAATATAAAATAATATAATAAAAAAGTCTTGAACAAGTTGTCTTTTTCATTCATTAATGGCACCAATCATCGTTTCTTTCTTTTAAATGGTTAAAATATGAGTATTTGTTACTATTATATGTTTGACAATAAGTTTACAATATTTTTGATAATTTATATTTTAATGTGAATTATTATCTATGGTTAAATTACAATAATAATAACTAGATTTTATTATATTTCGAATTAGGGTTATTAATTTATATTTTTGTAAATTAATCTTATAGTTTTAATTTTCTTTATTTTATCTTTTTTAAAATTGAAATTTTTATTATTACCCTTTTATGTTTAAATATTTTAAATTAAATCTTTAAGTTATTATTTATTATTTTAGTCATAAAAATATATATTTTATTGAAGGATAATATTTATTTATTTTTAAATATTAAGAAATAATTATTAAAGTAACTAGATGTCCTATTATGATATTTTAAAATAAATAAATATCTTACTTATAAAAAACTTAAAAAATAAAATATGTATATTTTGGTTACTTTTAATATTAAATTCTTAGAACTTCTTTTAAATAAAATTATGTGATGAATCTAGAATAATAGGTAGTAAATTAAATTTATATTTGAATTCTTAGACTTCCATTAATAAAAATAATATATAATCGACGGTACTAATTTTAGGCATTGTGGGATGCTAATCCTTCCCCAAACGTAACCGACCACGAATACCTTTTTATTACTAAAAAGAATGAATTTCTGATTATACACAAACTGATTTATCTTTTAAATAGTATTTTCTTAAAAAACTCTTTTAAAAGATGATTTTTTAAGTATTCGATCTACCTAACCTAAAAAGTTCGATGACGACTCCAAAACATTTCATTAAAAAAACCATTTATTCACCATATTTTTCCAGCCAAGGAAAATTCTTGCCAGACGAAAACCGGTTACGACAACCTGTCTCTTGTGCCCAAAAAGAAAAGTCCACCCCATTCTTTTCCAATCAATCATGTGGGAGTTTCCATTTGTTAATTGTTGTTCCGGAACAGATGAAGACGTGTGTAAAGATAATCCATATATTGTCAATATGATCATCATCATCATCATATGAATTTTCCAACATAAATAAAAAAAAAATTAAAATCAACAGGTGTGCCAATGACAAAATGCAGATTGCCATATGACAATCCTCCAAACTTGTGTCTGCTGTTGCCTCAAATTCTTACGTCATATCCGTCTGTTAAATAAATTATGGCCAATGTATAAACAAGCTTTCTTTAATTAGTTGTAGACCGAGCGGGGAGCAGCCATTTGACTGGCCAATTTAATAGGCTGACACCCCCCCCATGCCCAACCAGTAACGTCTTCTGCTATTCAGTTGAAAATAACCAGGGCGTGCATGCCTCTGCAACTACGCAACTTCTCTGCTATTCTTTCCAAAATGCAGCTTCCATCCCTTGGGATCCATTTCCTTCTGTCAATCACATAAGAAATTTTATAAATCATCATGTTTGTAGTAATACGTCTTCAAAACTCCAAAAACATTTTCCCATGGTCACAAATTTCAAAGTTGCTATGGAGGGTTCGCTTTAATAATCCCAACTTCTGAAAATCACTTGTAAGTAAAGTTCAGCATAATGAGGAGTCATTATGGAATATATCAACAAAATCATATAGCTGAATGAGGCAGAACTGCAAGTGTCAAAACTAGAAAATACTTGGAAAGCACATAACTTCCCCTAGCATGCTGAAAATATGCCTAGAATCTTATGTAAGAACAAGGGGACTCGGCATCAGTTTCGTTCTTATCTATCCTTTTAATAACAATTATAAAATGATGTTCTCTTATGTAAGTTCAAACTCTGGAAAATGATGATTCTTTTAGAAGTGAATAAACACTCACCTGAAATGCTTTGTCCCTCCAGTGAAAGACGCACCCATGGGCTTCCATGTACCCCAGAATGGATTGAGAAAGTAATGGTCGAAAGGATGCATGGAGTTTAACTTTTGTTAATGCTCGGCATGCCAATAGGGCTGCTGCCAGGCCATTTGGAGTCAAACCGGCCAAGTGCAAGATTGTCATGTTTTGTAGGCGACTGATGCTAGCTAGTGCCACAAGCCCAACATCAGTAACAGAACAATATGACAAGTTTATCTGCAATGCAAGGAAGTGAAGGACACTATTAGTTTTAACATTACCTCGTAATGTTCCAATCTACAAGAATAAGAATTTGATAATGTAGAATACCTGCTTCAGATTTTGTGAAAATTGAGCAAGTGGAAGCATTCCGTTATCATTAATGTTGAAGCACTTCTTTATGTCCAGCACCGTGAGTTGCTTACATCCCACAGCAATGGCTGATACACCAGTTGAAGAGACACCAAGGCATCCACGAATCTCGAGTGCTTTTAACATCCCACATTTTGACAATGATATTAATGATTTATCTGTAATTTTATCATTATAAGCTATATTGATCATCTCAAGTGCAGGACAACCATCAGCAATGGCTGAAATGCCCACATCATTTACTGCTGTGGACCTGAATAACAGAAGGACACTAAGTTCAACGGAGAAAAGAGATATCATGTTCTTTGCATAAAGGCACAGAAGCATTCCACCATGTGGGGCCTAACATGACCACCTAATTCTTTTTAGAACCTCATAATGACAATCAGGAAAATTTTGTGGTTTAAACTAGCAGAATCTTTGTCATTGTTAAAGTTGATGCTATTAGAGTGCAGAATGCCTGTAGAGATTAAGGTGCTCGACTAAACACCTACGCATGTGGTAGTCATTGCAAGCTAGCATGAATAGTGTAAAAGTTAAAGGAAAGTTGCAACCTGTATAAATCAAGTTCCTTAAGCTGTGAACAACGACTTCCAACTTTGGCAAGTCCTTCATCTGAAATGTTAGAGCATATCCCTAACTTTAAAATGGATAGTTTTGAGCATCTTGAGATGGATTTCAAACCTGCATGAGATAACATAAATCACTCACAAAAAGTTTCATTCATATGTAAAACAGATTACAGTTGAGGTAAAACCTTCGTCATCAATTTCATTATCTGTGGCATCCAGCTCTTCCAAAAATGAGCAACGTTCTCCAATCAAAACAAAGGCTTCCTTAGGAACCAAGCTACAAGATTCCATCCTGAGATAGGTAAGGGAAGTGCATGAACTTGTTATGCTGTCTATAGAGGTATATGTTATTTTACGACAGCATGTGATGTCTAGTTTCCTCATATCTTTGTGTGATTGGACGAGGAAAGAGAGACCATCATCTGTCAGTCCTAAGCATTTACTGAAGCTCAGTTCCTTGATAGGGGCACGCAAACATGCCATGGCTTTGATCCCTGACCAAGTAATAATACAACCATCTAATTTAATTGATTGCAGCTTTGAATAAGTATACAGACATTTTGCTAGATCAGAAGTAACCTGCAACATCATCAGAGATACATAAGCCACGAGCCATAGATTAATATATAACTAGTATGGAATTACCTTAGGGATTTTTTGACTTACAGAAGAGCCATATGCCAATATAATCTGCTGTAGCTGTTCAGTGCCATTTATCAGAGATGACAATCCCATGTGTGTAACATTTTGACAGTTTGACAAATTAAGCATCTGTAAAATATCCAATTTGGAAAAACTATCACTTACATTATTCTAATAAAAGAAAATATATTTCAAGTGCTGGCAGCAAAACTTGTAGATTTTCTTTCCATAGTTATATTTGCTGGTAATAATCTTAGGCAGCTTCAACAGCCTATTATTTCCAAAGTAACAAAAAAGGAAAATATACCTTTAGTGACTTGCAACTTTGCTCGAGTGTTGAAAGGCCATCATCATCAATGCCATGGCATCCCTCTAGAACCAGATCTTCAAGATTTTGGAGTTCAAGAACAGAATTGAGGCACTTCTCCGTGATCTGTGGTGAAAAGGCATACAGGTTCTCATTATAATTTCTCATCTAATTGTGCATTCTCCAACCAAGAATTAATAAAAGAAAGAACAGAAATCATGTATTAAAATCAATAGAAGAGTAGATTCCAAGAGACATGGCATCCATGAGAAATGATCAATTACACATAGTGAGTTATGTTCTACAACAATACAATGCTACCACTAAAAAGAAAAATTACATCTAGGCTTGCTACAGAAACTTAAGTTGTTCTCCCGTGTCAAAAATCAACGTTCTCTACTTCTCTTCCTTTTTTTCTCCTTTAAAAGATAATTACAACATAGAATAAACGGAAAGCTAAGAAAACTTGTTGGAAAGTTTTCGTCACAATAAAGGTGTTTTGGCTTATCCAAAAAGGTGTATGCTTTCCACATAATACAAATTCTACAGATGATTGTTCAACAATCTCAACTACCACTTGCTCAACCAGTGTCGATTATAGGTAAATGGCGAATCCGGTTAAGCACTGTGACACAGATGCTGAACAACCTATAAATAACAAATTCCATAGCTGGTCCATATAGACTAACAGACTCAGCAGCTCATCAGAAGTCAAAAAAAGGGCCATAACTAGGTAGCATAAATCAACAAAATAGTAACAAGAAATACTACTAATAAGTAATAACACATTATTCGCTATTCAACCAATCATTCACCTCTTAGTTGGAGGAAGAAAAAAAAAAAAGAGAGAGTATGGTGACATCATATTTCAATGCCCAGTAAAGAAAGCAAAGCCATTTAATTGAATAAAGCGCATAGCAGGCCCCGCTATAGCCTAAAAATGCACACATTTGACATGGTTGATTATGATTTTTCCACTTTCTGGATGCCTTAGAAAGCTTCATTTTCTTTTCTTTGCCACAGCTGAGTAAAAAAGGAATTGAACTTACCGGTAAATAAGAGAGATCCAAGCTCCGAATTTGTTTGCACTTGAGAGCAATCAACTCCACACCCAAATCACCAACACGCAAGCACCACTTCAAGCAAAGGGACTTCAGCTTTCTACACCCAACAGCAATACAGCCGATCCCCATATCGGTTATCAACTTGCACCTCGCTAAACTCAACTTCTCCAAACTCCTTGCCTCCGCGATGGCCGAGGCCGCCAAGTCCGTCAAGTGCGTGGCGTTGCTCAGATCAACCTCAACGAGACCCGAACAATTGATGAACAGGCTCGATAACCCGGCATTCGTGAAAAACCTTGACCTTGACAGGTTTATTGACTTCAGGGTAGCTTTCCAGGTCGAGGATATAACGTTTAAGGTGCCATCGTCGACGCACGGACAGAGAGAGAGATCGAGGTGGGAAACGAAAGGGTAGCGATGAAATGTTCTTGGGAGGAGCTCGGCGCGTAGAGGCCTGAGAGACCCGCGGTGGCGAGACTCTATGAAGTAAAAGGACTTGCATGCGAGGGAGAAAGATTTTATGGCAAAAGGGTCCTCGTGGAGGTGGTCGAGGATCTTGCATACGATCTCTTCTGTTAAGATATCAAAAAGGTTAGATGAAGAAAGGGGTGACAGTGGGTGGTGGTGGTGTATTCTCTTGCTCTGGAATTTCATGGAAGCTTTTGTGAGAAAAAGGCTCGTCAAAGTGTTGGGGAACGAAGGGAGAAGAGCAGGGAAAAAGGGTTATTAAAGGATGGGAAAATTGGGTTGGATCAGCAAACAACAGAACAGTAGGATCAGCTGGGGGCGGGGGGAACTTGGGGTTCTATCTGTATTTGGGAAGAAGAAGATCTGTGATGTCCAAATTACTATACTACCCCTTCAAGGCTTTTCTCAAATACATGTATTGACTGAACAAATGACCCCTTCTCCTCTTGTGCCCGTAATTATAATAGAATATGTATGACTAAATGTGATTGTTATATTCGATGGTGTCCATCCATGCATTCATCTTTTCCCCAAAATACAAAACAATTCGCATACATATCTTTCAGCGCCAAATTGTAGTTTAACTTGCATGCCGACCTTGCTGTACTTGTTTTTAATTTTAAAATGCCATGCTAATTTACATCCTCATCATTATATTGATAGGATCTCCACATTATTCAGAGAGAGGAATAAAACAAAATCCTTCCTCTTCTTTTTTTGTGGTTCGTGAGATCGAGTCCCACGAAATATTTTATAATTCGGAGGTCTCTTACGAAAACTGCTCTCAACCTGGTGTTGGAGGTAACCTACTATCTTACCTCCCCTTACCTCATATATATATGAGAAAAAGAGACACCATTTTTAGCCATCTATTTAGATATATGTCATAATGTAAATCCTAAATTTGAAAACCTAAACTTTAAAATTTTAAACTCTAAAGAAAAGTATGATAATATTAAATTTTTTATATTTTTGTGTGAAATAATAATTCCTTTTCATTTATTAATGAAAAATCAATTGATTTAGTGTGTATATATATAGAGAGAGGGGGGTAATATGGGGAAAGAGGGGAAGGGAGGGGAAAGTTGGCAATAATCATAGGTAGCGGGGCAGTGGGGGGGACGATGTATCTGGGTAAGTAAACATGTTAGGAAGGACAGATTGAATTCAAAGTGCACGTGTTTTGGTACGGCTTTGTTTGAAAGGTCTTCCCCTTATAAAAAATAACAAGGTACACGAGGGAGTGGTACGTTTTCATTTTTTGGGTGAGCCGACGATGAATGCCACGTTTCAATCAGCGTACACAACGTACTCCTTCCTATACAACCACCACTCATCCAACCCCACCCTTTCCCTGTCCTCTGTCTATCGCCTTTCATTTTCAGGCCCTCTTTTCCTTTTCCTCTATGTATTTTATATAGGTATTAAATTGAGTGAGTAGGATTCCTTAGCATAATTATCAAACAGAGCCGCCCGAATCCAATCACATGATGCCACCCCTTTACGCATACGGACACCCACATTCCTCTTCTGGAAAAGCAATTAGTTGTCCAGTTAATGCCTTCCCTGGGTGCCTCTCCCACAACTAACACCTATCCACCTCTCATCCCCTGTCCAGTTACCAACACCATGAATCATCTCACCATTATGTATGTGTATGTACGAAACCATAATAATAAAACTATTCCACCAACATACTTGCAGGAATTCCCTAGTTATACCAAGCCACGAAATTAAACTTTCATCGGCACAAGTATAGGTTACTTTACTTCTTAGCGAAAGTGATAGCCATGGGATATTGAGGGGCGATCTTGAAACCCTAGAGGTTCTGCATTGCTGTACAAGAATGCTCTTCGTCTTCATACTCCACGAATGCAATACCCAGCTTTGCTTCAATCATCCAGACTTCCCTGAACCCAGGGTACTGTTCGAAAAGCAGTTGCAGCATCATGCTCGTTGTCTTATGAGGTAAATTCTGTATGAACATAATATGGTTGGGTGCAGCCTGCTCTTGGGCATTCACGTTTCCATCATGGAAAGGAGCCTGCACATACTCGTATAAGAGTTTTCCCAAACAGCATGTTAACCAACTCAATCCCTCTTGGTAAAAAAAGCGGCCCAAAAAAGTGTAAAGTCATATCTTTATACTATCTAAGCACTGCAATCAAAATACATGAGCTGCAGTTCCCATAGGTAAAAGCGGTTGGGTTGAGAGAGGGAGACAAATAGGAAGCAACAATCAAATCAGAAATAGTTCTGCAAATTACCTTTGATCCACCATTACTTTGAGAACCTGCGCTATTTGGCATTGCAGATTGCTGTTCCTCTGCACGTCGTTTCCTTTCAGCTGAAAATTTCATAGTGTATCAGAGGATGACATCAAAATATAAAGAAGTAAATAAACCAAGAGAAAAGTAGTTTAAATATTGGATGCAAATTAATTAATAAACCAGAGAGAGGCAAAATTTTAAGTTCAGTCCCCAAGAAAGCAACTCTAATCAACGGCTTGTCATTTGCCTTCCTTTGCACTTTTAGCTTTTTCTTTTTACAAACAGAAAAAGCCAAAAGTATAAATATCCTACCAACAGAATAGCACCATTAAACAAGAAACCAATGGTTCAATGAAGACATTTATCCCCACGGGAATTGGTCTGGAAGAAAAGAGGATGGCAAACAAAGCGCAAATAGGCCCTTTGCTTAGTCCCCAGAGTTTGATTGATTTGACTGCTTCATCTCTAGCATGTGCAGGAGATTTCAGGACACTTGAAGCAACTGATTCCCAGAATGACCGATGATAAAGTCGAGAACCTGATATAATAGATGCAGCCTCAAATGAACAAGAACCAGCAATTGCCTCAGCAATACCAGTGGAAAAGAACAAGCGGAGAATGCTTTCTAGAATCTGGTTTTTAATAGGATCCCATCTTTCTGTTCTCAAGGGGTTTAAGTTATCTGCGTCTTCTGTTGGTTGGAGTTCCAAAAGGCCATAAAGGAAAGAAAATGAGATGAGGGAGTTTTTACTGACATTTATAAGAGTGTGATCAGAAATTACAACACTTTCTTCAAGTTTTTTATGAATAAGATCAAAGTTATCAGAAGAAGAGTGTTCAGTTACTGCATCATTCACAGTTTCAGCAACTTCCTCCATCGTCAACACTGCTGATTCAATCCAGCCTCTTAGGTGTGAAAATAGAAACTCCCAATCTTCTTCATCAAATTCTCTCCAGAAATAACCATTAGC